CCACCAAATGTCATGCAAAATGTTCAGGAGAGGCTAGTGTGGGTGGTAGAGGAATTTTACCAAGAGTAGAATAAATGCAGAGAGAAGACCATTGACATACACACTGTGAGCGGCAGTGGAGCAGTCAAGACAGGGCACCACGAGGTAAAGCTTTCAAGTGTTTGCTGCCCCACACTGGGGGATGTGGGGCTTGTGGCATTCTGCAAGACTGAACAACAGGTTACTTTTGATATGGAGTAGACAGCCTTCAAGATGCAATCAGTATGGGAACAACTGCTCCTTGTGACAAGACTGCACTCTAGTCACAGAATGTATGTTGGAAAACAGCTTACTGAGGCCTGCTTTGCAGAACAGATGATGTTTGTTTTACTTTCTATAGTCCCACCGTCTGCTGTCTGCAGCCTGGAAACCTACAAAAGCCAGTGCTATAATTCAACCCAAGTCTGAAGACTGAGAATCAGGAGACTTGAGGTACATCCCAGTCAGCCTGAGCCCAGAAGATAGGATGAGATAGAGGTCCCAGCTCAAGAAGCTGCCTCATAAGAAGGAAAGGACAAATTCCTTCTTCCCCTTCCTTTTTTTTTCTATTCAGGCCCTCAAAGGGTTAGTTGATCCCACTCACACTAGGGAGTGCAATCTACACTACTGAGTCCACAGCTTCAGATGCCTGTCTCATAGGAAACACCCTATGTGAGCCTGAGGCTCACTGAGCTTTATACATAAATCAGTCATTGTAAATAACTTTATGTTTGAAAGGAAGAATGGGAGGAGAGCTCTAGGATGTAGTGAACACAGTCGGTTTCTTCAAGGACATTTGTTTCAACGAGCAGCAGCTTCTGTGGGGCAGGAGGTTAAGATAATTGTTTTGGTGTTTGTTTTAAGATGAAGGCAGTTTTAAAAGCCATTTGAACATAAAGGAGAAGGAGGGAAGGTAAATGAGCAGAGGTAATCTCTAGTGTGCAGGTGGAGGGCTGGACGTGAGATTACATTACAGGCCACTGAAGTCTACACACTCAGGTTTGTTTGCTCGCTGACCAAACCAAAAGGGCCATTAGTTTTGGTTAAAACAAAAGAAAGGAAGAAAAGGAATCTATTCAAAGCTGGCTTCAAGGGGACAGGACCCGCATCACTCAAGTCACCCTATCACCATGTACAGGCGTGTCAGGGTCTTTTATAGCAACGACAGGAACAGGGGGAGTGAACACACCGAGACAATGGATATGTTACAGCTCCACTCATCCCTTCCTCAGCCCTATCTTTGCCATTCCTTCAGGTCAAACTTAACACTGACCTCCTGGTGCCAGATCTGTGTATCCTCTCCATTCATCTGCACTGAAGAGAAACAGCAGTGATTGTTTATGCCCTAGGGTGACAACATTTGGAACTACGTGTGTCTAAAGGAAAACATAACTTTTAAAGCTCCATTTTGCCATGGCACCCATGGCAACAGGTGGGGAGGCAGTGTGAGCAGGTACAGCTGCAGGCCAGTGAGTAGAGGCGGGTGAGGTGGCCCAAGTAAGATTTCTTCAGATGCCTTCAGTTTTCAGTGGTGGTAAGAACCCACATAATTAGTGGAGAATGAAGATGGAGAAAGAGATGATAGAGAGGTTGAGAAGGAAAAGTGCAAGTAGTCATCTAGGAGAGAAGGAAAGTATTTGGAATATGGGTGCATAATACAATGGCAGGAAAGCACTAAATGTGCTGAAGGTTTGTGATCATGAATTTGAAGTTAGACTAGTCAATATGGTTGTATATTCTTCTCCAAACATGTTTGCCTCCATTGTGTAGGAAAGGAGTTGCTAGTGTGGTGTTAACAGGACTATGGAAAAGTGAGTGTCACAGAGTGGCAAAGCAAGAGAGAGCAAATAAGGTAAGAGTGTGGACAAGATGGTGATTATAGTGATTGCCTATGAATTTAACTGGATCAAGCACCAAAGAGGAGTATGTTATGAATCATGTCAACTAAAGGAGACCTTCCAGTTATATTCTGTCTGGCCACTGTCTTTCATTCTGCCAGAGAATTGTAGAATAAAAAGTATAGCAGGACAATGAAATTAAACAGTCATGTTTACAAAAGACCAAAAAAGTATTTATTGTGAATAACCTTATTCTACAAGTACAGTGTAGAAACTAATACATATGTGTCAGAAAGCCATTAGACATATTATATATCAAGAATCAAACTCAAGCACAAAGATAAATTCATCATACAAGTTATAGTTTGTTTTTTTTATTGTGAATCATGTGGATAAGTAAAGACTAACATTTAATATTAACCAACATAAGGAAATTGAAGGTACTGTAGTAAAGTCAGAATTATAGAAATTAGCCCATAATACATTCATGAAGGAAATATTGTTAATTCTTTTTCACCCAAAGTCATTTTTTTTTTTTTTTTTGGTACTAGGAATTGAACTTATGATCTCAAGCTTGCTAGGCAGGCACTGTGCCGGTGAGCTACATCCCCAGCCCCTCTTTCTTATTTTATATATATTGCCATGTTTATTTTTATCACTATCTATAATGTTTAATATTTTTTTCTTTGTGGTATTGGAGATCAAACTTAGAGCTTTATGCATGCTAAGCAAACATTCTACTATTGAGCTATATTTCTAGCCTTTATTGAGCCTTTCCTTAAAACTTTGAGAAACTCATAACTTACTACCTTCTGGTGAACTTTGAGGGACATAAAATTAAATCAGGTATGGTCCTTATTGTCAGGGAGCTTACAGTCCAGTCACTGATATCATTTGTAGTCAACATATTTATATTCACTGATGTCACTTGTAATCTTATTCATCATTTGTATGTATACAGGCATACAGTGTGAGTAAAAATTAAATGTGAACTTACCATATGGGCCATTAATTCCACAGAAATGAAAGTTATATTCACACAAAATCTTATTCATGAAGATTCATAGAAATTTTATTTATAATGGTCCCAAACTGAAAACAATCCATTGTCCTTCAATGGGTGAATGATTAAGCAACCTATAGTATACCCAACCATGAGATACTATTCAGCAATGAAAAAGAATGGACTACAGACACATACACATCTTATCCAGCATAGATTTGTAGAGAATTACACTAAGTGAAAAAGCCAAGCTGAAAATGTATACTATGATTCCATTTATGTATAATTCTTGAAATGATAAGATCATACAGATGGAAAACAGACTTCTAGTTACTAGGGACTAGTCCAGGGGACAGGGTTAGGGAAGGAGCCAGGTAGACATGGATTAGCACAAGAGTTTGATCAAACATCTTCACAACAATGGAGGACACAGAGATCTTACATGGATGATAAAATTACCCAGAACTAAATACATTTCTCATGAAAACACATACAACTGTTATATTTTTTAAAACTGCTGAAATCTGAATTAGGGTGGTAGATCATTGCCTGAACTTCTGGGTTTTACTGTTGTACTACAGCTCTACCAAATGTTACTATTTTCAGAAACTAGTTTAAAGTGCACAATACTTTTCTGTATTATTTTACAGTGACAATGGTATGCAAATGTAATTTACAATTACCTGAGATTTTTAAAAAATGTATTCTTAAGGAATTTCAGAACAGAGGATTTTATCTATGTATAGAGTCAAGGAAGTTTTCAAGGAGGAGGCAACATTTGAAATACACTGCAGATTCTGTTATACCAGAGTCAGATTTAATCATATTTATCATTTTTTAAAATTGAAATGAAAAATTAGAATAAGTCATCCCAATGAGAGACTATCTTCACAATGGGTTTTGGATGATCCCAACAAAATATCTTTCATGGAATGAGAATTAACAACAAAGCAGCACATTCTGTGGATCTAATTATTTCTTCATTTCAAGGAGTTGTATTCAACCTATTATAATCAAATACCATGTAGGATTTATTTTTGTCTTTTTGAGACAGGGTCTTGCTATGCAGTTCAGGCTGGCCTTGAGCTCACTTTGTAGCTCAGGCTGGCCTCAAACTCAGAACAGTCCTCCTGTCTCAGCCTCCCAAGTGCTGGGATTACAGGCGTGCGCCACCACGCCCAGCTACCATACAATTTAAAACAAAACTGCAGTTTCGGTACAGCCACAGGAATGCTATCTTCTGTTTCTTGAGCACCAAGCGTGTTCAAAGACCAGTGCTGAGCATGCTTCAAACATTTCAGTTTTATTACTATAGCAATTATTTGAGTAAATATTAGGTCTACTTTATAGACGAGTGATTTAGGCATAAAATACTTAACTGGTTTAAATCATACTTAGTGTACTGGGATTACTTTAAAAAATCAGTATGTAAATATAGTCATGCATCATTGTCTGATAGGATGCATTCTGTGAAATGAATCTTTTAGGCTTTTTCATCCAGTGAAAGCCATGGTACATACTCACACAAACCTGGATGGCAGAGGTCACGCACATTGTCATGAGCATGGAAGTCATGCTTTGCCCTGCAACGTGATGGCTAGAGTGTAGGGGTGGGAATTTTTCAGCTCCATTGTAACCTAGTGGGACCACAGTCCTCTATGGCCTGTCATTTACGCAAGTGGTCTGAGGTCACATGACCATAATAACAAAGCCATGTTTTCTGCACAATGCAAAACTAAAAGAGCCACTCAAGGACACTTCTTACCATGTAGTGAAAACTTTGTTAGGTGCTGTGGGAACAGAGGTGAAAAATATGCAAGAGAAAATGCTTCTCCTCTTGTATACTTAATAAATATTACAATCATGACTTAAACTTCTTCAATAAATTAGCTAACATAGGCCATGCATGGTGGCACACTGCTATAGTCCTAATACTTTGGGAGACTGGTGCAGGAGGACCTCAAATTTAAGCCTAGCCTGAGCAGTTTAGTGACTTAATGAGGTACTAATTCAAAAGTTAAAAAAAAATGCTGGGTGTGGTGGTGCACGCCTGTAATGCCAGCACACGGGAGGCTAAGGCTGTAGGATCATAGTGAGTTTGAGGCCAGTCTGCGCTGCATATTGAGACCCTGTCTCAAACAATAATAATAAATAATAATAGTATAAAAAAAGGCTGGTGATGTAGCTCAGTGCAAAAGACTTGGGTTCCATCTCTAGTATTGGGGGAAAAAATGGCTATGACAGGTACGTTCAGGAATACTAAAACCCTTACTATATTATTCTTCAAAATAAATTACTATTTTAAGAATATTATCGTGTTATCTGTTTCTCTATGCACATAAAGTTTGACCAAGTGTTCATATCTTCACTGTGGCTCACACTCTAATTCTTAAATCTTTTCTAGACAGAAATACCAGCCATATTTGTCTGAGGAATACAATGCCATTGTAAAATAAAACTCCAAGAATTTCTCTTTAATTTAGATCTTTCCAAGTTTGTATGGGAGTTTCTCAAATCATGGGCTGTAAATTTTATTTGAGTTTGGAATCTAATTCCCAGAAATCTAGAAAATAGTAATGATGCTGACATCATGCTAATAATGGTGCTAGCATTATAAAAAGATAAATTATATTCTTTGGCTTTACAAAATCCTAATTCAGAATTTCTACTATAGTTTTCATTATTACTTGAAGATATTCTTAAATCCAGGTTTCCTTCTTTCCTGTACCTTCTTACAGAGTAGAGAATGCTACACCGGGGTCAAATTGCAGAATATACTTGGGACTCACATTTTAAGGGAACACTGAAAGTTACTTTGAAATGCACCTACAGTCTTGTTTTAACTTACAGTGGACCCTTGATTTAGGCCCGGCCTCACATATGGACAGCAGAATTTTAGGTTCAACCTATGACCAAAGTCTTGAGTTACGACCTGACCAGCGGCTTGTGTGGTTGTAAATAAAGACTCGTGATGCCAGAAAAACAAGTGTAAGTGTCAGTCTGAGCCCAGATTCCTGATGTTCTTATGGAAGGAGACTCTCCTTCCAAACAGTAACCACCTTCATTCCATCCTCCCTTCAACTTAAATGGTGAATACAGTATGAAATTGTTGTTTCTGGTGAACTAGGAACATTATATAACTTTCTGGTGAACACACTAGGAAAATTATGGGTTTGTCTGGTAAATTAAGCATATTATACCACCTTTTTTTTTTTTTTTAACCAAAAAAGGTTAGTTAAGAAGTGCTTTGGATGTTCAGAACACATTATGGGTATTTCCATCATTTTTTGTGGCAAGGATAGTCTTGATTTACCACCAACCTGAGTTACAACCAGCCCTCACGAATGAATTGAGCTCATAAGTCAAGGGTCCACTGTAATCATTTCTCTCAGTTTCCCCAAAACATCTTATTAAATGGAACACAAAGTATGTAAAACACTCAACACCATTAATTCAAGTCAGTTTTCAAATCTGATTTTAAACAAATGTCTAAATTTAATTAGTGCATATGCCAATCCTTTCAGATCACTTGTATATTCTGTAAAGGAAAGGGCAGCTGAAAGACTACTGCATCTTGCCATCAATATGTCAATATGGCACCAGTCCTAACTTCATTTTGGTCCAAATCACTTGACTATTGTGTCTTGAAGGGCTCAGAATAATCTATAAAAACTAAAATGACAAAGTCAGCCCATGCTCAACTTTTCCTCTCCTGTCTGTATCCAAGAAGTCAGCAATACAGTGTTGTACTAGATGCATCACAGAGGGGGCTACCAGGTTATCTGCCTTGTGCGATTCTCCCATCTCAAGCCAGATGGGTCTAACAGGACCACTGTCCATGGGCAAACTAGAAACAACAAGGAAGCACATCTGTGATCTCTCAAATGAGGACCGAGCCCAGTTTGAATGCAAATACAGCAGCATGCTAATGCCTGGACCTTATGCCCCTTAACCCTTTCCAGCACAGGAAAGGTTGAGATGCACAAGCATTTAGTGATGCCATTTAGTTAACTCAAATCCAGTCAATAGTTGCCTCATGCTGCCTTCATTCTCTCTTCTTCAACCACGCAATTACTTTCACCACACAAGGTGTGCTAATTGTTCTGTAATATATTCTCATTCTAGCCTCAAAGTTTAAGACTTTTCAGTCTACTGACTGGTTACATTTTCCATGTCTTCCACATCTTCATAGATTATGCTACAATGTCAAGCAAATAGATGACTAAATCATTTCATTGTTTTGTGTCAACATCCTCAGGAATTTCCTGTTAAATAAATACTGTTTTAACTTATCCAAAAGAAGTACATTATACAAAGTTTGTATAATTATTGTAGTCATAATAAAACAGAACTGTTTTTGCTTTTTTCTAGGTAGTCACTTGACTGGAAATTTGCAAAGCTACACAGTGGTTTCTCTCTATATTTCCTTAAATTAGTTTCCATTCTTTTCCATTATGAGGTGTTAAGTAGTTGCTGCCTCCCTTTGCTTGACCTTTCATCATATGATCATTTTTCATAGGATGCAAAGGAAAAACGTCTAATATGTCTCCATACATTAAAGAAACACTTTTTATCTTGTCTTTCATTCCTTGTACCAAATCTTGAAACTAAAAATTTACTGAGATGAGAGAAACTGAGAAAATGAAGAAAGGCATTGCTTCAAATTGTGTATTTGCATGAAAAACTTATGTCAACAAGCCAAGATTTTGATGACAGAAAATGCCCAGAAAACATATGAACACACATTGGGCAGAGCTCATCTGGCAGTCACAGATGCTCATGTTGGGAGAAGAGCTAGGGTGGAAAAGTGTCCATCAACCAGATAGTTTAGTGACATGGACCAGGTCTTTGTGACTGTTAAGGCTTCTTCTGCAGTTCTGCATCTCTAAAAATGAACTATCACATACAGAAAGAAGTTTTGTTGCACGGGTTTTCCCTAGATACCCGTTTTGGAAGTGATCCAGTCCCGCAGCGCAGTCACTCTCGTATAAACACCAGGCTTGTAGGGCTTCCCGCATTCATCGCCCCAGCTCACTATTCCAGCAAGGTACCAGATGTCCCTAGCATCAGCACCAACCAATGGTCCTCCAGAATCACCCTTAAGAAAAAGAGACAGGTTAGTAATTCATAACTCATTTTATTACAGAAGAATTTGTTGTTTTTCTAAGTTAAAAATGTAATCAAAGTGATGAACTTCACAAGTTTCCAGTGTGTTCAGACCCAAAAGTGATTCCCTCTCTTTCTGTCAGTTATTCACAGAGAGGAGACACTCCATTACCTGGAGAATTGGTTTAGCCTCACACTTCAGTACTCTGAGTTTGGAGGCTGTATCCCTTTGGAAAGTTTCCATGGCTTATATCACCCAAAGCCTCGTGTGCTCATAGGTGGGGCTGTTGGGAGGTGACTGGATCACGGTGGTGTGATTCTCATGAGTGGATTTTTCTGTTAATGACTTTATAGCCAAATGTGATGTTAGGAGGGGAAGCCTGGCAGGAGGAGGTGGATCACTGAGGAGAGGGTGTGGAAGGCTCTAACACCCCCTACAAACATCTGTGATCATTTCCACTCTTTCTGCTTCCCAACCCCATGCCAGGAGCTGTTTCTCCTCTGCCACGCTCCCCTGCCTCGGAGCCATGTGAGACTATGGACTGAAACTGCTACACACTGTGAGCTAAAGTAAATCATTCCTCCTTCAACTTGTCAGTGCTGGGTATTTTGTCCCAGTAAAAAAGAAAGTAACTGAGACAAGAATAGTACTTTTAACTTATCTGATATGTCCGACAAAATAACTCCCTGTACAGCTGCCACATATTCGTGAGGCATAACTCTCCCCTGAAAGGGCAGCGTCTGTTACTGATAAGCTGTACGGATCTTAGTCAGACACCTGAGTTTCAGCTTCACATTTGGGTTTTTCAGGTTGCTAAGACCTTTAATTTATTTATCAATGCTCTTAATATTTGGTAACTATGATGAAGATGAAATAAGACTATAAGTGTAAAGTGCTAAACCTAACACAAAGTAAAATTTAGGAAATGTATATAGAAAACTGCAAATACCAATTGTTTGTGTCTTGGAAAACTTAGAAGGCTGTCTGCACACAGGTCATAAGCACATGGTACTGGCTGACCATTCCAGTACTTGGCGGATTCTGGGCCTCTAGGTACTGACCCCGTAACACATGTTTGGTACTCTCTGAAGCTCTTAATTAATTAAAATATTAAGCCATTAGTTTCTGTAATTCTTGCAACAAAGCATAGAGTTTGGTTCTATTTTCTCCAGCTTAGCAATAAAGAAACTAAAACATGAGAAATTAAGTTATTTGCCTGAGATCATGAGCAGATCAGTAGCAAAAATTAAACTGGAATCTACAACAATCTAACCATAATTCCCTACATTATACTAACTTCCTGGTAAAATTCCTTCATGCTTTACATCTAAGAACATTAATAATAGCTGAAAATAATAATGGTTAAATTTAAAATAAGATTTTAAATTATTTTTTGTAGTGCTGAGTGTTGAATCCAGGGTCTTTGCACTGAGATATATCTCCAGCACTTTTATTTTTTATTTAGAGACAGGCTCTGCAGTCCTTTTCTTTTCTTTTCCTTTCCTTTCCTTTTCTTTTCTTTATTTTTTATTTTGAGATAGGGTCTTGATAGGTAACTATGGTAAGTTGTCCAGACTAGGCCTGGATTTATGATTCTCCTGCCTCAGCCTCCCAGATTTCTGATTACAGGTGTGTACCACAATGTCAAGCAATGTGTTGTAATTTTTAAATCAATTAACTAATAAGAATATACTGGTATTCTCATATGTGGTAAATAATACAAAAGAAGTATAACCACACAGGCCTTGCTGAGTCACATTTTTGCCAACTGATCAATATGTCGTCATGTTGTATCTGTGTTTCTGTTTAAACAGACCTCATTCAAAGGAAAGATTTGTGCTAATATTGATTGGACAATTAAATGCATATATCTTGTACTCTAAGAACTGATTTTTTTTTATTTTAAAGAGAAAAAAACTAACAAAACAATGAAGACAAAAACAAAAACTAGACAAAAACAACAAAAATGATACATGACCTCTAAAGAAAATGATAGGCATTAACAATGGTTGCTTATAGGGCTCAGTGGCACAGTGCCTGCCTGGCAAATGCAAGGTCCTGAGTTCGATTCCCAGTACCAAGAAAAAAAGAAAAAAAAAACAATGGTTGCTACATTATATACTGTTATTTTCAGTGAAGTTGCTCAATCAGATGTAAGAATGTAAGACTGATCAAACAATCAAAGACAACAGGAAATGAAAAAAACAATGGAAACGATACAGAACTTCACCATACAAGATGGTAGGAATTCAACAATTCTTATACTGCATATTGTTGTCTTTAAATCAGTCATTGTGATTACCAGATATAGTCATGCAAAATTGGTCAAGAAAAAAAGAAAATTCTAAGCATTAACTGTTCCTTTTAATAAACCATAGACATCAGCAGTACACCTATCCCAGCTATCCTTGTATATACATATAACATTTTTCACTTTAAAGAGAAAAGAAAAAAAAAACAACAAAAACAAATACATAAACAAAACAGCATGGAAGGAGTAACTGGGATGAAGGAGCGGAGAGGAAAAAGAAAGAAGGAAGAGAAAAAAATATGTGTATGTATACACAGGATAGCTAGGATAATTTTACTATTAAGATCTGTTGGTTTATTGAAAGGAACAATTAATGTGTAATTGTTTGAGCAATCTTACATGCCTATATCCGGTTATCTGAGTAACCACTTTGAAGATAACATTATGTAATATAACAACCATTGTTAATACCCTATCACTTTGTTTTGAAATTCTGTATCATTTTTATTGTTTTCTAAGTAACTAATTTAAAGATAACAATACACAAAGTATTAACCATTGTTACTTTCCTATTCTCTTCTTTGGAAATTTGTTTTACTATTTTTCTCTTGAAAATAAAATTTTTAAAAAGATGCCTCATTTAATATATATGGTTGATCTGTTAACACTAAACTTAGTCAATAGTGCTGTAATTCAAAGTTTATCTGATGTACATATTTTCTCTATAAGGCACATCGCAGCCTTTTTATGCTACTATACTTTAGCACTACACTTGGGGACTATTTTAAACAATAAAATTACCAGTGAGAGGCACACACTTGTGAAAAAATGTAGCACTAAATAGACCACAAAAAGGAGATTTGTTTACAATCAAAACTAAAACAAAAAAGTACAGAGTCACCATTTCAGAGGTCAAGTAGAAGCATGAGCTTTGGGTATCTCAGTGTTTTACCACTCTATTCATGCCTATTGGTGATCTTAAAAGCATTCTGAGTATTACTTTGGGGTTAAAAATGTGTTTTAGTGAGTAGGTACATTTGCAAATATAGACTATTCAAATAACCAAGATTAGTGCTGCTGTGGTTCAGAATGAGAAAGTCTCCCCAAAGTCTCACGTGTTCAGAGGTGGGGATTTGGGAGGTGACTGCACCCTGGGGCACCATACTCCACGGTGGGTTCATTCACTACTGAGCTCAGCAGCTTCTCTTAGGAGGAGGGGCCCTTACAGGCATCTCCTGCAGGCACGACCAGGAAGAGCAGCTCTCCCTCCCAGGCTCATGCCTTCTCTCTCTCCCCTTCCTGGTCACTGTGACGCCAGCAGCTTTCCTCCACTGTGACCACGGCCATGTGATTTCTCCCTGAAAGTGTGCCTAACATACATGGACTGTGCTCTGAAGCTGTGAGCAAAAATAAACCTCTTCTCCTTTAAGTGGTGGGGTCAGCTACTGCACTCTAGCTATGAAAAAGTAACTAAGACATATGTATTTTCAAGTGATATATATTTCATCATTTTATTTCATTTTAGGAGATTTATTTACAGAACCAACATTAAGTTTTTGCAGGATGTTTTAATGGAACCTGTGTATCTTGCTCTACAGGGTCAATCAGGGCCACAGAACAGAACAAGATAGAAGGGAGAGAGCTTTGACAGAGGTAAGGAGGAGGGTCAGCCGGGTTAAAGAGTTCAGTGTAGCAAAATAAATATCGCCAGAAGGACCAACCCCAAGGGAAATGTGGGAAAGAACGTCATGCACTGGCACATTGGGAAGCCAACTGAGGTAAAAACACAGAGAGAAAACAGGAAAAGCTATGAGAAATTCTTTGAAATAAGTAATATACAATTTTATAGATTCAGATTGGAAAGTATATCAAACAATGGAATTTCAAAAAGTAATAGGAGAGAATGACACCCTGAAACAAAATATTAACTGGAAAGGTGATACATGTAAATAAAATATCTGGATCACTGAGAAGGGGAAGGGCTGTCACTATGCCGGCCTACAGGGCTCCAGGGAGCAGCCATTGAGAGATCATCAGGAACAGCCTGAGGGAATGAGTGAGGACTGCGGAGGCTGGACTCTGGGACAGACTGCACAGACCAGCCCCTCCTTGCCCTGATTTCTCCTACAAAAGGCCTGGCGGTATCTTCACCTGCACTACTCATCCAACACCCATCAGAGTGAGGACAAACAAGTGAACAGGGTCTTCCGACTCCTGCAGGTGCACGCCCCTCCCTTCCACTTCTGCGGACCCCACTAGCACATGAACAGGCCCAAGGATTCCAGCATGAGGCCCCTCGGGAAGACTCTGTGAGTCAAGCCCAAGGACGGCATTGGATTGTGCCTGCTGGCCTGAGGGGAGAATTCTTGAGATTGAATCAGTTCAGGCTTTGAGCGCAAGGGAAAAGTGGAGAAATTGGTGTTGCTACGTGCAATCAGACTACAGCTAAGGCCGGAAGGGAACTGCATGACCACTCAGGTTTTCTAGCATAGTGGTCATGCGATAGTCACGTGTACATGCTCTTGTTGGAGCACTTGATATGGGGACCTGAAGGGTTTCTCTTTGCTTTAATTTAATTGCTGATCTTCTCTCCCTCTTCTCATCTCTCAGCTTCATTTTTTCAATTCATGCTTCTGCAAACAATACTACTTTCTTTCTTTTACTCCCGTGTTTTAAATTCTTCTTTTCCAGATTTTCCTTTTCTATATTCTGCTCTCTCACAGTTTCTTCTGCTTTCTCA